CAGGCGGAGCTTGACGTGCCGCAGCAGCAGCTGCCCGTTTGGCCTCCAAAGTTGCAACGATTTCACGGGCACGACGCTGAGCCAGCTCTTGCGGGGTTTCCTCCGGAATGTACTCCTGCCAGAGTTGCGGGATCTGTACATCCGTCAGAAGGAAACAGGGCATACGTGAAACAGCAACCTACTATCAAAGGTGCGACAACGATACAGAAAACAAGCCACTGATCAGCGGTTAGCGAGCCGCCAGCGGGCTCGCCAATGAGGCTCGGCAGACGCCCGAGATGGGCAGGAAGTTTGAGCTGAGAAAGGAATACACCTGAGCAAGGGCACAATTGTCGACGGTGGACATACAGACCTTGGAAAGAAGTGCGTGGAGCGACCGGAGCTCCTTGGTTTTTCGGAGCACATTGAGTTGTACCCAGATATGATAGAAGTGGGTCTTGACGACACCTGAAAGAGAGTTAGAGCACATAAATGCACGTAGTGAAAGACGGCACCTAAGAATAAATTATGCATCGGGTCGATGACTATCATTTCGCAGAGATTGAAGTAAGGGAGACGGTGGAGTTCGCAGTAGCGAGTGGCGTGTTGTTTGACAAAAGCATCCCGAGCGGTTTTGGTGGTACATTTGAGATATTCTTTTTGAAGGCGGCGATGCTCGGCATCGGTTCGCTTGGGAAACCCTAGCAATTCGGGTTAGATGCCGTCGAGAGAGCAGAAGAGATAGTGAGACGTGGAAGCCCGAAGGCAAAAGGGGGTCGAAATTTGATGCGAAATTTGATGGGCGCTTAAGAGAGGAAACCGGTTTCCTCTTTGGCGCCCAGACCAAATATCCGACGACGACAAAGACAAAGAGTAGAAAAGGACAAAGGTAACTCACCGTTCTCCTTGAATGCCTCCGGGGACGATTTCATTGACTGTGTGATCCAGCACATGGTGCAGAAGTTAGTGTGGCTGTGGGAGGCGAATCCGAATCCGAACGGTAGGTGGAACTGCGAGTGCAGCCAGAGAACCACAACATAAATGAGGTAGACAGCGGGATTGGGGTGCACATCTCACGCGGTTGGCAAGGGTTTCGCGGCCTGAGGCACAGTATAAAACGGATCCGGGTCGTTTTCATCCGCTGCAGGAGGAGGACCGTCGGTGTTCTCATCCTCAGAAAGGTCTGGAGCACCGTTCGGCAGCTCCCAGTCGTCGACAGAGATTGGCAGGAAAAGCTCGCCGGAAGCTTCGACCTGCTGCAAATGGGACAGCCCGGCGGCTTCCGTCGTCGCAGTAAACGCGGGTACTGCCGGTGTCGGGACTGGGCCAATGTGTTGCGCAATAAAAGAGTCGACGGTATCCGGAGGAGCACTGCCAGCCGCGGGTGTCGGAGCTGGTACTGCGAAGGGCGCAAAGGGCATGGGAGCAGCTACATTCCTGGTGCTGAGTTGCCGTAGTTCGCGGCTGGCATGGCTGGCCAGTGCGCTGGGGGTTACACTTTTCCCCTCGCACACCGGGCACGGGCAAGGTACAAGATTGCGTGACTACATTTTTCAATTAGATTTTCAGAGCGTAGATGTGTGCTGGTAACTGACCATCGATGGGGCCGGTAGGGGAGTGGGCGGGACGAGAAAGAGGAGGGACGAGAAGAGGACGAGCGTCGGCAACGAGGAAAATGAGGAACAACCAACAATCACCTGATGTGGAACAGCAGCCGATCTGGCCACCTGTTATATCCGTGCTCGGAACCCTCGGAACTCGGCCGACGGAACGGCTCCGCCGAACTCGGCCGACGGAGACACCACATCAACCTCGTGTTCCTTCTCGGGTTTTCACGCAATGAAGCTTACTGAGCGTTTCCCGTTTATCCGTCTTCTTTCTTATTGTTTTAACCTCATGTTTATATTCTCCTTCCCCTTTGGGACTTTCACTATTGTTGCGCTTGGACCATCAGATATTTCCTTATATGTATACATAATAACCTTTCCAGTATAAGTACCGTAGTCTATCCTTGTATTCTTCAGTTTGATTATTAACGTTGCTTTGCACTTCCTCCGCAAGTAACTGAGTCGTTCCGATTCCGGTCTCCGAACCCGAACCACTTCCCTGTCCTCCCTGCCTCGAGTCACCCAGGTAGTTGTGCGCCCAGCTCCTCTGTGGCGTTCACATATATCTCCGACACTCCGGTCTTCCGCTCGGCCGATACTCGGCCGGCTCCGGTTCCGTCTTCCCCTCCGTCGGCTCGGTATATAACACCACCACTATGTCCAGATTATCCTACAGACATACGTCGAAGACAGGAGACTTCTCCTGCAAACCCTCCCATTGGAGATGGGTACGACGCAGCTGCACAGCGTGGAAGAGAAAATGTGAGCGTCAATAAACAATGTGACGAGACGCGTCGGTAAATGCACGTGGTTGTGACCGTTAGTGGTGGCAAAGTTCGGTTCAGGAAACGCAAAGTTCAGGTTCAGGTTCAGCAAATGCCCGAACCTGAACCTGAAGTTCGGTTCGACGTTCGGCCAAAGATTTTTTTTTCTGAACCGAACCGAACCTCGAACCGCAAGAGGACCCAACAGGTGGATTTAGTCGTGATTTTGGACTGCTTTGGAGTGAAATTCTGCCTCCTGTAGCACTGACAGTGCTTGTTGAACAAAATCCAAAGAAATTTGTGGCATTGAACAATAGGTGTCGGTTGTATGGTGAATTCAATGGCTTGTTGAACATTGTCCATATTAGCCCAACTGTGCAAAAGTGAATGAATCGGGGCTGTAGAGAGCCAGGATGGCCTTGAGAGTCAATTAGGTGAGCAGGATGGTCCTTCTTACCCTTTTAAACATCCCCTGCCTCAAAAATTTGACTTTTGGAGCGTGGAAAAAAATCTCAAGTTCGAACGCGTTCGAACGCCGAACCGAACCTGAACGCGCGTTCAGGTTCGAGGTTCAGCAGAATGCCCGAACCGAACCGAAGTTCAGGTTCGGCGTTCGACGAAAAAGTGCTCGAACCTGAACCGAACCGAACTTTGCCAACACTAGTGACCGTCAACAGAAACTCATTCAAACTACATACAAAGTACTTGCGAGCGCGGGTCAACGTTTTCTTTGCCGGTGCCCGAACTCCTCTCGGTTCTACCCACTGGTCCCCGCTTCCCCAAACCCTGTTCTCCGTACGCTGTGCGCGCTCTAGCGGTCGACGACCGTGTCTCCATTGACGATACAAACACCAACGGCTACACGGAGAATGAGCAAAGTCCGTGAAGAAAAGAGAAAATGGATGCGGACCTGTCGGATAGGAGCGCATGTGACTCGGTGAACCAGTTTCGTCGAGCGCGTTGGGGGCACGGACAAGGCGGCCAGCTTTTTGGGCTTCTGCAGATGGATGGTGAGTAAAGAGTGCGTGTTAAGAAATATACTACGTACCACAGGAGAGGCTCGACGCACCAGACGAGTGCGGGGAGCACCTGGCTTTCGCTCATCTTTGGGATCCTTGTCGTTGAGCCATCGACAGTGGGCATCGACGTCGTCCTCAACGCGGGTGCTGGCCTAAAGAAGGCTTGAGAGGCTAATGAAAAACTGAATGCGCAATACGCACCGATACGGTACGTGCCCACAGGCACATTCGAGTAGAGATGTCACACTACAGGACGTTAGCGCGACTCCAATGGACCAAATCTACTATGACGCACCGACGAAATGGACTCTACATGTATCCCGGTCATCCCACAGATCATCTCGGCCGAAAACGTTTGCGGCTGGAAGAAGTAGTATAATTTGCCGGGTTGGAGAAGACGAGTCCACGCGGGGGCATCAGCGTCGTCGTTGGATCCAACGAATCGAGCGAGACGGAGAATGGGACTCGGAGAGCACACTTGGACCTCTATGGTCAGCGACAGGCAATAGGTGTCGGGATCTTGGAATATGCCCTCGACGCGACCCTAGTAGACGACGCGTTAGTACGCATACCAAGACTGAGCCTAATAGATGTACCTCGAGAACGAACATGTAGACCATGCAAAGAGCTTCGTCCGTGTCCGGTGCGCGATCTGGGAGCGAAGTCGACTCTGGCGTCACACTCTCTGAAAGCCATTTGTCGAGCGGCGCGTCGAGTATAAGCCGTGCAGCACGCAGATGTGCTCCGTTGCGCGCAGTCATGGTGCTGGGACGCGGTTGTAGAGGAGCCGTGTATGGAGAGAATCTAGCAGAGCGCGTGGTGGTAGTGGACTTCATGGAATTGGACTTGGAAGATTTCACAGCGCGCTGGCCTTTTGAGGCCGCACGAGAAACACATGAGCGAAGCCAGCGTCACCGAGCCACAGGAGGGCAGACGAGGGAGACGCCGTAGGGACAGAGTGGTGGCGAGCTGATCTGTCCATACGTGTGGACATTTGTGCAAGTTTGCCTGTCAACGTGTGGATTGATCGAGGGATTTTTGTTCTGTCCATGCCAGGGCAAGATCACAAATTCTCCCCCAGAACAGGTAGGCTAGACATATGGCTCGGTAGGAAATACTGATAATCCTACGTGTTCACCCTCCTGGATATATTCCGCAAAACGCAGTGAATTGTTCAACCCTGAGTCGGTTCGTTTTGTCAGAGTTCCACTTCGGCTCTTCTTTCGCTCCGACAAAATGAACTGCGGGAATCTTTGACAACCTGGCGGGTGAACAGAATATCAGAATGGGCCCACATTTCTGGGCCCAACGGCTCCACACCTCTCCAGATCCTATTATCGAGAACGATGAACTCCGAGTGGGTCCGGTACTATGTATGTAAAGCTGTATTTGCAAAGACATGATCCCTGCCTCTATTTACGCAAAAGCTAACGGACAAATTTTCGTGTCTCTGCAACTGTACTTCCGTGCCCTGGTCGCCGCCTCGCTACTAGTATAACGAAGGGTGATTATCCGGATGTACATATTTGTTCGCGCCGGAGGACAGTGAGGGGGTGCACACCTTGTGACTCACCCAGAAACTGCTTGTTTGCGTCAGGAAGCGTGCTGCCAAAAAATACCTTGGATTTGCATGCCTTCGGTGGGAGTCGAACCCACTCCAGCCTCCGACACGACTGTTGTCATTTATGTGGAAAGACTGATCTACCACTGATCCACGAGGGCTAGTTGCAATGTACCCAAACCCGAAAGGATGTTTAGACACATCTCAGGAAGGGGTTTAGAGGAATTCAATCTGAGCAAGTTGCATTGGCTTTACCAAGCTGTACATCTCGGAAGTGCGGATGAATGAAGTGCAAGATCGTATTGCGAAGCGACCCCTCCACTAGTAATTTCTCGAAATCAAGGTCTCCGCCGAGTTGACCGGTTCACTTGCAAAACAAGAAAAAAGTCGTGGATCCGATGCATACGCCCTCGGCAGGATTCGAACCCGCGTCAACTACGTAATCCAAACCACTTTGAATAAATCCAGTGGTATCGCTGATCTACAAGGGCGTTCCTAAGCATATGATCAGCTGATCTGGGTGCACAATACTCACCGTAAGTGGAACTTTGGCTCTTTACTGTTCAAAAATTGAAGTTGTGGGTCTATGAGTTGGTTGAAATACATTGGTTATGTTCTTTACCTCTAATACCAAGCAGGGTCTATGGCGTTCCAAACGTTGCAAAACCCAAACCCCCAAAAAAAACTTTGTCCCGGAAAACTTTTTTCTCCAACTCTTAGATTAACCCTGTGTAGCATTCTGGCATTGTATATGAGTGTATCAGGTGTGCTTTCAGAGATGATGGGCTACAACCTCATGCAGAACAACCAAGCCGGCAAGCATCGGGTGATTTGATGGGCACCGGCATTTCCCGGCATGTTCAGAAAATGTACACACAGGTTGGCCAGGGCTGAATGGACAGTGAGTATGGTACAGCACGCAAGTAGGTCAGTGGATGCCCGCACTTCTCATAATGATTTGTTCCGCAAATTTCCGAATGCGAAAGAAAAAATATTTTTATTTCCAAGCCTGTCAACCCCCGAGCCGCTTCATCAGTGCGTGAGTGTAAGTCAGCACTGCAGCACTTGTGGACCTCAAATGTAATGTGCCTGCGAAGGTATCTGTGGCAGCTCGCAGGTAACTTAGCCGCCCGGCAACTCGAACATGTGGGAAATTACTATATATGGACCGTGGGAATGCTTACGTTAGGTAGGTAGTCCCGCCGCCAGGTCGGAAAAAAGAAAATCGGCCTAAGGTTTTTTTTTTGGAATGCCGGTTCCCCCTTGGCCCTGAGGTGCATATGACCTTTGGACGTCGGGACGGGCGTTTTCAGGTCGAGGAGAACAAATCTTCACACCCCGAAACGCCACATTGCATGTATCGAGCACATTGCATTGTTTTGTCGTGTTTCGCATCCCCGTTTTCAGTCATACTTGGGATCAGACCGAAAATGTGTTCGTTCTAGATGAAAACAAGACAGAATCTCTCAGTTCTTTGTACCAGGGTATAGCTTGGAAGGCAGCACACCGTTCCACAAAGGGAAATGAGGTCATTGGAGCAGTATTCAGCCCGCAATCAGACGCGGAATGCGAGCGTTTCGCATCACCGTTAAAGACTGTATTCTACTTCCTCGAATTTACCACCCCCTCAAAAAACCTGTGCAGGAAAAGCAAGAACAAAACACCACAAATACGCGCCAATGCCCTTGACGGGAGTCGAACCCGCGGGGCCTGCAGAGACAATCATGACATATTCAATGGATGACGGAGATCTACCACTGATCTACGAGGGCATGAATGAGAATGAAGTGATGAGAGTTGTGTGTGGCTCAGCGCGATGGCAATGCATAATGCAAATCAAGGCTTCACACGCAAAAGCAAAAGAAGGAGAAAGGCATGCATGGAATGACTCGAGCAAGACTCGAGTCTCATCGACCGGTCAAAACCAGGCGACATTTGCGGCATGCTCCCAGTAATCTGTGGGGAGGATGAAGATAGTCACTTTGCATCCGCGAGAGGCTTAAGTGCTTGTCGATCGCGAGCAGGGGGCGGTTGAATGTGGCATGCCCAGGCGGAGCAAAATGCAATTTAAAAATGATACCGAAGATTACTGAATTTCCTAAAGTCAACTTGGTGGAGTCCTGGACCGGAATGTTTTGAAGCCTTGGAATCAGGTTGCAAACTGTTGAGTTTTTGTGATTGTGCCGAACTGGAGCGTTTGAACAGTGAACTTGCAGTGAACTACCAATTGCAACACGAGTCGGCGCGTGTTGTAGATATGTCAGCCGAAGTCACGGAGGAGTGAAAATGTAGTATCGGCTGGCATAGAGCAAAAGAGTAGCAAGGATTGAGGAAGAAACAGAAAACTGAACGTTGTGGTTTTCGGTTGGCCGCACTCGGCATCGTATTCGGAACAATCGGTGGCAGTGCAACAGCGGCAAGATTTCCTTCGACTGAAGACCACGACCATCCAGTTTTCAGAAAACTATGGAAGACTATGCACTCTTTGGCACTCGCTGTGCACTCTCAGACGAACGCGTAGCGTAACGTATGGACCGGCTGATGCGGTCCGACGGATTGCAGAGAATTCGCGGTCAGATTTAAGTCTTCCACTCTGGGAGATTTTTTGCGGACGCCACCGTGCTCGCTACGACGCTAGGACTGTTGGCAACGAAGCAGACTACAGCATACCCAACTCAGGAGTCCGCAAGACGCACGGGTCGCGCTCCTTGACTCGTTTCGGTTCCCTCTGGCCGAAGGTCGCAGCCTCAATCACTCCGTCGCTTTCCCATCCATTGCCCTCCTCGGTCAGGCTATCGTCAAAACTCAGCCTCGCCCCGCCAAAAAACTGGCTTCTGGAACGCTGGTGATATCAGACATATCCTCGTCCACCACGAAGCTCGTCACCGCCATCAACGCTCGTCTCCTCCACCTCCCGCGTCTGGCACGGCGACAAAGCTAACTAGAGGAACGAGGCAGAAGAACTGACGATCACGGCACATTGCCCAGTGCAAGCAGCGCCCCCCAGTGCATCCGCAAACAACACCTCGACGACATGCTCATCAAGGTGCGCGCCACCTTCCTCGTCCCGTCCCCTCCTTCACTACTAAGTCCCGAGCAGGAACAACGCCTGGGCGGTCTCGGAACCCTGAGCTGTAGCCTGAGGTCGGGCATTCGGTTAAGCTCGGTGGTGGATGGGATGCAAGGCGGGTGCGTAATCTCCTACCGCGCGACCGTCGCTCCAAATACCGATACCGATTTGCGGTCCAGTAGTCCCTCGCCCCAGCTACTACGGCGCACTGGCCAAGCCGTTGAGCAGATCTGCTGGATCGCGCGCATCGTCGGCGTGGAGGGGGTGTCTTCGACTTCACCGGCGCACCGCGAAGTCGGGCAACGCGGTCAACCTATACTGGAACAGGTTCCCGGCGGGCGAACGTCAGGTCCATGCCCACGACGGCGTACCTGACGGACTGCGGGAGCGCAAGGAGTAGACGCGGACATTGGGCGCAGGCGAAGCCGGTGAGCTTCCTTTCCCTTTCCCTTATACTCTCTCCGCTCTCGCTTCTCCCTTCTTTTTTCTCCCTCCTCTCCCCGTCTCCCTTCCCTTCATCCCGGTCCCCCTCTTTCGCGTTCGCTTGCGCTCCTCCCCCTCCCTCCCTTCGCTCCTCACAAAGCGGATGTGAACGCTAACGACTACAACGCACAGACCCCAGCTCCCGCAAGGCTTACCCTCTCCGCCATCGCGCCCGGCGCGCGGCATGTGGCAAATGTGTACTTCCTCCGCTCGGAACGATCGCGCTACAGGCCTCGTCCGCGTCTCCGGCACCGCGCAGCAGGGCGACAACTCGCCGCAGACGGGAACAGGTTCCACGACGTCCCGCCCATGCCCACGACTGTGACGGTGTGCCCAACGAAATGCGGGAGCGCGAGCGACAGCTTTGAAGCTAGCATTACGACGGGCTGGACGGGTGCATGAGATCCCTCCTTCCGCTCTCCCCCCTCCCTCTCTTCTTCTGCCCTCGCTACCTGCGCTCCTTTCCCTCTTTCCATTCCATACTTGCGCTCTTCTCTCTCCCTCCCCTGCTTACGCTCCTTCCCGTGCCCCCTGTCACTCATGATTGGATTGGATATGAACACTGACGACAACTCGCAGACTTCGACTCCCCCGTCACGCTCTACCGAGCTCGCCGTCTCTAGTCACTATAGCTACCTCTTCCGCTCGAAACTATCGCGCTGCACGCCAGCTCTGCCCCGTACGCGCGCAGCTCGCCGTCTCGGCTCCGTGCGTTCAAGCCCACGCAAGGGTCCGATCGGGCAGTACGCCTCGACGTCGATGGTCGGGCAGCAGGCGTACCAGCTTCTTGGGGCCATGTTGCTGCGTTCGTTGGGGCTGGAGCGCGGCGACGCGGAAGGCGGAGTACCGCCAATGCGGCGGTGGGGAGAACGGCCGGCGCCGCGACGCCCCACAGCACCCAAGCAGTCGCATCTTCCAAAAGCGCCAAGACCACGTCTTCTACACACACCAGCACGCATGCCGCCTCGCGCGCCTAGCACTGCCACGAGCGTCTCGGCCTCGCGGAAGGACGTGCAGGTCGAGCCGTGAACGACTCGCGGACGTCGTTGATTTGCAGGCGCGCGCGAAGCCTGATCTGGACGCGGAGGTGGAGGGTATGGGGAAGGATACACAAGAAGGCAAGGACGAAGGAGAAGGCCAAGCAAGGCCAACCTTCGATGGCGCTCCATCTTGGTGGGCCCGGGCGTCGTTCTGAGCACTGAGCCCGCCGCACGCACGCATCCGCCAGGAACACCACGGGCGTTTCGCATCCCCGAAGCCGCGTGCGACCACTCGCGCTTCGCGCACGCCGCGTCCACGCATATCAGCATGCATGCGCATTGTGTCCCAGCAGCATCCAGTCTTCGCGCCTAGCACGAGAACCCCACCCTCGCCGAAGACGTGCAAGACAAGCGCAAATTGAGCTGTGCGTCGCGCCGCCGGTGCGCGCTCGCGGACGCTGGAGGAGGGCGCAAAGGGCGTCGAGGACGTCGAGAAGGTCACGCAAGGGCGCGCTGCGTGCGAAACGAGCCGCGCGCTTCTCGAGGCTGCCTTGCAGGCGCACACTGATCTGGAGGCGGGTGTGCCATCCGAGGCGGAGTCGCGGACTCGGGACATGGGGTGAAGGACGCGGGACAGAGTGGGGGCAGTGGGGGGATGGTTTTGAAGCGCTCGAGCGTACGCCATTTACATGAGTGCAAGGGCGTCGTTCTCAGCATGCATCGTCTTCTGCTTTTCATCGAGCACGCACGCACGCCTCCTCCGCCCATCACCAGCGCCTTGCACGTCCCCGGCGCGCCCTCGCGGAGGCGAAAGTAGAGGGCAAGGGGGAAGGATGGGAAGGCGCACTGCTGCCCGGCGCGCCACTTGCACAGGCTTGGCCCCGGGAGAGTCCGGGCCTCGTTCCGAGCGAACTCGCCTCGTCTTCCTCCACCGAGCACGCACGGACGCACACCGCCTCCGTACCCAAGCCCACCACGGATCATCTTGCGCCGAAAACGTGCAGCTCGGACTCGCATCTCTCCTCCCACCCGACATGCATCCGAGCCGCACACCACGAGCGCGTCGCAGGCACGGGGGTGTGTCCTCGCACGGGTCCCATGCTTTCACATTCCAGCTTTCGTCGGGACGCCCTGTTGGCCTTCGCCCAAACCTTTGTCTTACATATAGAACCACCTCTACCATTGATCCACAAGTGCATTCCACGCAAATCTTTAATGTCCGTTTGACAGATACAAGGAAAGAAAAAAGCAAATTTGACTGTTTATTTAAAGTCCAGGTCTGGATAGAGACGACTGTCTGAGCAAACGATCGCAGCTCGACAATCTCCGCACTCGTCCCATACTTTGCGGCTCCCCTGAGCGCCTTCACCTCGTTTGCATCGACGTCAGCATCGCAGCTCGACGATCGATGCATTCCTGCGCTTTAACGCTGCGCGCGAAGCCGCCGGCGTCAGCGCCGCCCGCAAGGAGAAGCTTGAAAACCTCTACGTTCCCACTCCTTGATGCTGTCCACAACGCGAGGCCGTCGCCTGCGTCGACTTTCGCACCGGCCTCAATGAGGAGCTTCGCGACTTCCACATTCCCATCCTTCGATGCTATCCACAATGCGTATCCACCGTTTGCATCGACATCGGCGCCGGCCTCGATTAAAAACTTGACGGCCTTTGCATCATCATCCTGTGACGCAGCCCCCAATACAGTGAGGCCCCAGCGGTCGCGTGGGTCGCGTGCATCGATGTCAGCGCCGGCCTCAATTAGACGCTTGACAACCTCTGCACTCCCATTTTCCGATGCTGTCCGCAGGACCTCCCAGTAGCCGGCGCCGGCCTCAATGAGCAGCTTGGCGACCTCTGCACGCCCATTCTCTGCTGCTGCGCGTAACACAGAGCCGCTGTCGGCGCCGTTCTCGATGAGGAGCTTGACAATCCCTTCATGTCCCTGTTCTGATGCTGCACGCAGTGGGCTTCCCCATTCTCCGCTTGCTTGAATACCTGCGCCGTGCTCAATGAGGAGTTTGACGACACCCTCATGCCCGTGCCATGATGCTGCATACAACGGGCTGCCACACTCTCTGCTGGCCCTTATGTCGGCGGACGCCGCGTACAATGGGCTTTCACACTGCTCGCTGGCGCTGTGGGCGGGGCCATCACTGAGCAGCTTGACGACCTCTGCATCCTCGCTGTCTGATGCAGCAGCGCACAAAGCCTGCCATCGATTTGCATTTATGTCGGCGTCGCTC